TTTGGCTGGAAGTTCTAAGTTTTGTCTGGGAAAAGAGATCTCAGAACTTGCATTTTAAATTACATAAATCCTAATTAAGGATAAAAATCCTGCTGGTTTCTCAAATACTATTTTCCAACAAAAGTAACTTTAATGTCTTGGCTTAATAATGTATTTTTTCCTTCAGGAAAGAACTAGCCAACATGAATTTAGAAGCAGCAGGCTGCTTCTATCCAGACCTTTTTAACAAGAATCTTCATAAGATACTAGGGTTTTTCCATCATCTCCAGATGATGAAGAAACTCTAAACTCTTGACTTGTATTTTAATACTTGGTTTTCATACTTTGGGAGATCCACATGTGTAGGTCAGCATCCCCAGGGTTCCACTTGCTTCATCTCCCCTGTCATTGGGATCCATTCAAAAGCGTTAATTGCTGGTATCAGGTTGAGGTTGGTCCCATCTGTCCATGGGATACACAGGATTTGTTCACCTCTAGATTCCTGTTTAAGAAGAGCCAGCTCCTAGTTAGCCTGGATGATCGAAGCCTGTGCACGAAGAAGGGAGTGAGCTCATTTGGCAGTATGGGCCCACACTGAGTTATAGACATGCTAGAGAATACTGTCCAGCCCTTGCTGCTTCTCCTGCTCCAGCTGGGCAGCATGGTTTGATGAGGGCAAGCTGGACTGTTAATTTGTAGCTATGATTTTTTATTTAAAGAGGCTGGTCACAGCTTCCTTGACTTTAGGTATTTTACAAGGATGTTTTCATGTTTATAACTATAGTTCAGAACAGCTGGTTTAGTAAGGATGGGGAAAAGAGCCTTTTTGTTGCCCAGGGGCTACTGGCTGTTACTGAGAGGCTCCAGCACACCCTCCATGACTAGTTAGTAGTGAGCAGCTAGAGGAGCTGAAGTTTAATCCTTCATACAGGTTCTGATCATTAAGGAAGAAGAAAGTAGAAAGGGATATTTCTCAGCCTAGAACTCACACTGACTATGGCCAAGAAGAAAGGGTACAGCTTCAGTGCAAGTAGTAGTTGACTGGAACTATCAAAATTATTCACAAGTGAATTCAGACTTTTGCATTTAATTCTTAGGCTTATGTGTGAAAACCAGTATGTTCAAGTCTTGCCCATTTCTGCAGACAGTGTGTTGCTTTGGACAACTCTTCTTGATGTAGATGTGTTTCCAGTCTGATTAGGTCAGCTAGCTTCCTATTTTGCAAATATAGGGCACGAAGGTAAGATTGTTTAGGGAGTACTCAGATGGAACAGAGTTGTTTTTCTCTAGTGCTTCTCCTGTTCCTTCAGTTTTATTTCATCTTACATGCATATATTGCTACATTTTGTTCTGCTCTGGATAATGCTTTACATAAATTCTTTCTTGGGACAGTTTGTATTTAAGCTTTATAGAACTGCCTTCACTGTACTATTTCCTGATTAGTAGCTGTGAATGAAGCAAATGACAGTTGGTATAGGTGTTTGGGACAGATCCATGGTATGGCTGAGTGGGAAGCCGGTGAGCATGTGAAGCATCTTCAGAGTCTGTAATGGTGGAAAAAAGGTGTTATCATTTTTGAGGAAGGTGAAACCTAGGAGTATTTACTGTTGTTGGCAAGGACAGGGAAGGATGCCAGGTACTCTTGGAAATACTACTAGAGGCATGAATACTCCTCCAAGCATTTTAACGTAGTTTGAGGTGATAAAGGTGGGTGTTAGAGTTCTGTATTCCGTATACATACAGATTATCCTGGGGAGATCAGTATGCTGTTTGTATGCAAAACATCCCAGTGGAAGAGCAAGAGTGGGACTGCTCTGGAAAAGCCCTAGTGCAGCTGGCCACAGGGCAGACCAGAAGCCTGAGAAAAGCTGTAGCATGTGCTGACATAAATGTGTGGCTCTTGCTTTTTACTTCTTGTAATGGGCAGGAACAAGGAGAGCAGGGGGAGTTGGCTTTCTGCTTGGAGAGTATCTGTGTGTAGTAGTGCTACAGCTGATCTGAGCTGTTGAAGTGTATGGTGGGTACAATATGTGACTGTTGTAAGAAGGCGATTTTTATTCATGTAAGTAGATCTTGCAAATACAGGGATCCTGTAAAACATTCTGAACAATGAACAATAGCAAAGATCATCTGCAAAAACACACTTGCATGCAGAAAATGTGTTTACACATGACAAAAGCAAACAGGTATCTAGACTACAGCTAGCGTACAGGTAGCATATCTACCAAAAATTAGGCTATTCTCTGTATCTTGTGGGTTTTTTTCTCCATCCTTCCTTTCTTTGACAGATCATGAGATACCCATTAAAATGCAATATGAGTGATAAACTTGTCATACTAGATGTTTATGCTGTTAATAAAGAATTATAGCTTGTGTTTATGTATTGCCCTGTACTTAAAGGGACTTCAGAAGAAGAGAGGGTTTGCTTGACTAACCCTCTGAATTGGAAGACAGTCATATGATAGCATAGTTAGCTTGAGATAAAAGGCAAGGTTCATGGAGCCTCCCTGTTGGCAAGCTATAACCTTGCAATCAACAGAAAGGGCTGAAGAGCAGCTTTCAAGTACTTTTCTGCTTTTGACAAATAAGGAGCTGAAGGTGTAACATCAGGACTAAGGAGGAACGACCATCTTGCAGAGGAGGATCGTTTAGCCCAGAGCAAGCAGTGCAAAGGCTGTATGTTACGCTTTCTTAAGTGGCTTTGCTAGGCAGTGCCAGCGGCACCTCCTGCAGCTGCAGCCCTTGGGGGGCTGTCATTCCCGCCTCTGCTTTGCTTCCTCTGTAGTGCCAATCAAAAAATTGCTTCTGATTTCAAGTAATACTTTTGGGCAAGAACTATTTTTAACTGATACCATATCAGTGATCCAGCCAAGAGTCAAGTGAATGGTAATGCTGTCATGGTGAGGGGTGGGTAGCAGCTGAGGAAGGATACCGCTTAAGAAAGCACTGTTGCAGCAGAAAAGGTATGTGGAAATGCATGTTGAATACCATTAATAATACCTTCTGTTTAAGGGTTTAATAGTTGTCTCTTACCTTTCTGAAAGTTGCTAATTACGGTTGGTTCGTTCTATATATAGTAGCTAAGGGGGGAGTGGGGGGCATGGCAAGTATAACTTGTCCAAATGCAACTAAAATTGATAAGAAAACTTGTTTGACTGAATAGAATTGCCCAGACATTCAGAATTTTCAACTCTAAGTTCTGTATGATGCTGAAAGTTGAACTTCCCCTGAGGCTAAACTGCATCTCTCATGTTACATCATAGATTTCAGATCTCTTTTATATTTTAGGAAGATCTGAATTTGACATGCCTTATGAAAAGCTCTGTACTTACTTTGTATTCAGGCTTATGAGTTTGTATTAAAAAAAAAAAAAGCCCACAGTTTAGACCATAAAACTCTTCTAATGGCATTATATTGATTACTGAAAATTGCTATAATTTTAACCATGACTCTTTAAGGTTTAAGGTAGGTTTGTTACTTTCTGATCTCAAGCACTGATTTAATCAGGATTCAAGTCTGATTCCTGAACTGTAGTAAAACAAAAAGTGCCATTTTTATCTAGCTGTACTGACTGAATTTAAAACATACTTTTAAATTCTTGATATCTCTATGCATGTTCTCTGTGTTCTTACTTGGAGCAGAAATCAGAGCCGTAGACATCTGTGGTCTAGTGTGCAAGAATCCTATAAGGATAAGAAGATAAGGGAGAATATTTTGAAAGTGCATGTTGATTTGAAATTACAAATTCATCTTTAAAATGACTTTCCTTCGGTGTTATTGTCAGTGGCAGTACTGCTCAGTTTGTCAAATTACTGCTGCTGCAGAGACTGCCAAATAAGTGTCTTCCTGGCATGATTTTCTTTCCCCATGCATTCCATTTTGCAATGCTTTGTTCACATTTTGAGTTTTTATCTTTAAAAGAAACTATTGGGGGGGGGAATATTCAGGTACATTAGGAGATGGATTTGTATATAATACAGTGTCCTAACTTTTATCCACTGATCTTGTCCCTACTCTATTCTAGTGCTGCAGCCTGGGTTTTTTTTTTTCTGACATCTCCGATTAGCATATTCTGGGTGAAATCATGCGCTATATCTGCCATAGCATGAAGTGTTCCTAGGTTGGTGGCTGGCTGGCTGGCTTTAATGATCTTTATTCCTGCCCATGGGAAAAGCCAGAAATGATGCAGGTATAATTTAGATAACTCTGGGATGAACTACCTAATTTGAAAACCTTATCCTCCACTGCCTTTGGCAAGAATCTCTCCACCCTGTTAATAATTTTTCTTGCCTTAAAGGCCTTCTAAGTTCTTAGAAGAAAGTCCCATCCTGGAGTTGATGTGGTAATGTCCTTGAAAACTGCTTCTTTTTTCCTTGGCTCATGGGCTGGAAGTGTTTGTCTGTATTATACTCTTTAATGTGTTGCAAAAAAATAGAATCACAAAATATTAAAATAGGCAAAAAAGAAAAAAAATCTTGGGAGACCATGGGAAATTTTTCTCATTAGATGTGACATAGTGCTACTCACTTGTAAATTTAGATCATATTGCAACATTTATTAATTGGGTCGTATTTCTGATGCCAAGTTGTGGATCATGGGTATTTGATAAAGTGGTAACAGAGCTTGAAAATCTAGTTTTAATATTTAAGAGCAATATACATCTTACAAATGTTTGAGAATCAGAAACGAATTGTTGCAATTTAGTAGTTTTAAACACCCTTTGTTTAGGAAGATATTTTGCTTTTTATTAGTTTCAGTATGGATTAGTTTAGTTTTTAAGTCTTCATAGACCCATTTTTGTAATTCAGCACTTTTACTGGAAGTCAGAGTTGAAATCTATGCAACCATTTTCTTCTATCGTCAAAAAAGAGCACGCTGAGTTTTAATGCTATAACAAATATTACACGTTGGAACTCTTCAGTCAGTCTGGATTGTGGGGTCATGAAAATAAAAGGAAGGATTCGTTTGGCATTGTCAGAACTGTAAAATGAAATTCAGTTACGGTCTATCTTTCTCTCTAGATCTCATAAATGGAGCCCAAGAACAGTGTGAATTGCCTCCTATGGATGGTTTTCCTCACTGTGAAGGGAAAATAAAGGTAACTGATCTGTTTTTAATCTTACTATGTGTGTTCTTTTGAAAACTGAATGTTGCAAGAGGCCACTACTCAGACAGTGGCATAAATGGGTCAAAAAGGAAAAAAGGATATTTAGGAGTGCGTGTCACTACAGCACTGCCCACCTCAGGCTTTTAATACTACTGCTGCAGAGAAATAGTGGCATACTATTAAGACAGGCGTAAAATGCCATATTATATTAAAATGCTATATTATTTAATAAAATGCCTTGTTATTAGAACGCTGTCCTGTTATTCAGAAACTTTCTTCTCCTTTTTAAAAGCCCTGTTTTTCTTCCCCATTATGAGTCATTTGGCATTCCCCTACCCCAGGACTGGGGTTCTGTGTGTACCTCACTCCAGTCCTTTTGGCGTTTCAGCAAGACATTTGTTTACAGTTCTTTCCCCTCTTTGCCAACAGCTCTGCCCGGTTCCTCCCTTCCACTTTTCTGTTAAAAGCATTCGGCCTCTTCTGCTCACAAGCTAGACGTTGCACTAAGTGTGCAACCAGAGCTTTGGGGTTCACAGCTGTCTACATAAATCCCATATTTTACTAATAAAGCCATTGGAAAGGCCAAATACTGAAAGTCATCAGACTTCAGTTGGAAGGGAAACAAAAAAGAACCACCAACCCAGAAATCAAAAGTTGCAGACTCAGAGGTCGTCTTTTTTTTTTTTTCCCCCAAGATACCTTTCAAATATAAAGATACTGTTTTAGTAGTGGGGGACAACAGTAAAATTGCTGGACACTTAAATATCAGTATCAAGTAGTACAATTTATTTCTGAAAGTGAGAACAAATAACTGCCAAAGTATATGTGAAATTATGTTGCCTTTTTTCTCTAAATAAAATTCCTAGTACTATTCTTTAAAAAATCTCATCTGTGTTTTGATCCATTTTGACAAACTGGCTGCATAGTGACTATGTAATACATTATTTGAATTTAAATTAATTACTTGCTTCTGCAGAAATGTCAGATTCTTGGCAGAATCAGGCAGATTTCAATCTTGGTAACTGAAATGATCTGTTAAATTTCAGAGCAAGTGTAATAAGGGGGGGCAATGCAGTCAAGGCCAGCCACACCCGTATGTCTGGATCTTGATTATATTCTCCTTTTGATATTTGTCTCTGCTTGCCTGGTTACCAGTTTGTATAAACTGTGCTCACATCTGGTATATAGTTACTTCCCCAACATAGCTGAATGCAGAGATGCAGTATGCTGCAAAATATTAATAAAATTCCTTTTTTGTAATTTATTGTTTTTATCTGGTTGGATATAGTCTCTTGCAGCTTTCCCCCGTTATTCCTCGGTTCAGTGTGAAATAGTATAGAGCTATTACATGGTACTTAAACCTAACAGACTGTTTTTCGTTCTGTTACAGTGGATGAAAGATATGTGGCGATCAGATCCCTGTTATGCAAGTTATGGTGTAGATGGGTCCACATGCTCCTTTTTTATTTACCTCAGTGAGGTCAGTAATCTTTTACTCTGTAGAAGGGGAACATCACAGTGTCTCCATAGTTTTGGTAACTGTTGCAAACTTTTCTCAAAAGAAATCATAACTTCAGAAAAATTCCATACAGACAAAAAAGCTACTAGAACAGAATTATTATGAAGTGTGTTGCTGTTATTCATAAGTCCTACAGGTGTTTCCAGCCTAGAGAATTCTAATGTTTATAATTGAAGTGATGTAAGCAGCAACTCTCCAGGGAGTCCACACAAGGTATCCTGTTAAACTGAATTATGAAGCTCTGTCATAGATCCTTGCCTCTGAACACTTTCTGTTGCTTTTTGTGTAGCTCCTGAGGTAGTAATAGGGAGGCATTTGGAATGTAAAACTTGGAAAGTGAAACTAGATGGTACATCGCCCTAAGCAGCATGGCCACTTCCTACTTGGAGGCTCTTCATGAATTGCAATCTGTTAATAGAAAACAAATAAACCTAAAAGTCATGTTTTTGAGTGAAGTTGCAGATATATTGGCTAAAGCTTTTGGTACCTGTCAGAACAAAAGGCCCGGTTTTGTACACAGCTGAATAAGGTGCTTGCCTTGGTGCTTTTTGTACAGATTTCCTGTTTCCTGAGTAATACTTGTTTTCCAAGAATGAATTTTGTCAATCAATTATTATGAACTATATTACTGGCTTGTAGTGTGTGTGCCAGAAAGTCAGCTGTATTTGATCACTTGACCTCTTCTTTCTTCTTAGAAAATTTTTTGATAACTTATGGCAATTGATCTTGGAAGTAGTGTTGATGTCTAGAGGCTTACTGCTTGTAAAGAACTGCAAGAGCCAATGTGGCTGCAGAATTGCAAACCAATATTAATTTTGTAGCTACTGCAGAATTGGGAGGGGCAGGATTTTAAAATTATGTATCTGAGATTAAAACAGTATTATATAAGTAACTCAATTGTAATGAAAGCAGTTTCTGTTAATTTACTCAGTTGACTGTCATTGAACTTTTGGGGACGTTTCTTGACGCAGCAGTTTTAGTTTAAATGCACATTCAAAACATATATCTGAAGAAATAAAAAAGGCTGGGTTAAATAAAAAATTTGACTCATTCCATTGCTATTACCAAGCGTTGGTTTATTTATGAGCTATAAAGCTGGGGAAGGGAAAGATACAGGATGACTATGTTATTTATCCTGTTGTTTATCATAGAAGCTAGAGATACAGTTTCATAATCCTCTGAAGTTGATCTGAGTTTGTACTAAAAGGTGATGTTTTGACATCAGCAGAGTTATGTTTGTGCAGTAGTATTCTGTCAACCAGCTGGTGCTTCATGTTTTTAATGCAGATGTATCTTAAAAATTAAGATTCATGCCAACTGAATGTGAGAATGTAATATTCTTAAATGACGCTTATTATTTTGTATTTCTGTTAAATCACAGTATTTTCTGTGACAGTTTTCTCTGATCATCAGTTTTGAAAACTCAGTTGATGCTGTTAGTTTTTTCATAATTGCTCTTTCAGCTCATCCTCATGGCAGAATGCAAGCAGATTTATAGAGGTGAAATGCTTGTTTTTTCAAGGGTCTAGGGATTTGAAATTTTTCTTTAAGCAGCAAGACTGAATTTGCGCAACTTCTCATTTCATAATGGAACAACAGTACAATTAGTCTGTGTGTATATTTGGGATTTTCAGACAAAGGTCTTGTACTTTGTTTTTTTTAAAAGTGTTCTCCCATGACAGAATGTAAAACTAATACTGGGTGAGCATGTTATTAACCTTGAGTTTAAATTTGGCATTCTTAATCCTGTGATTAATTCCATGATTAATGCCCAGCAGCAGAGGTTGGAAGCTTAAATGTTTGTGAATGCAAGCATGAAATGAAATTCTAATAACACTACAATGATGTGGATTTATGAGGTGTGTTGGCTGCTAAGGATAACTTGGAAATGCTGTTGCAAGAGCAATTTGTCAAAGTGGACAGTGATGAAGAGTTGACAGTTTATAGTATAGTTGCACAGTTGAATGGTAAATGTGTCTACAGAGATCTCAAGTCAAAACTGCTGATTTAAAATATTAAAATACATTAGGGTACTGGAAGGCTATTACTGTTAAGATTTTTCTTTTTTACTTTAAGGTTACAGTATAGGGTTAAGATGGTTGTGTACACATGCTCTGTTTGAAAAGGCAATATATGCATCAAATTATTCACGATCTCAGTTTGAAAGGACAGAATAGGCATCAAATTGTGCATATTTCTACTTTTGCTCTTAAAATTGCCTCTACAATTTAGTGTGACAAGCGGCTGTAGTTTGGCATACTCTTTCAGGGTCTGCTTTTTTCTTCTGAAGGAATTCAGTTAGGGTACTATGTTACACTCATCTAGCACTCTTTGTAATGCTGTTTTAAACTTGTAAACAAAGAAGCCTGAAATATTACATTTTGATTTGTAATATAGGTCAGAGACACAAAGTCACTTGCCCACAGTTTATGAAAAGGTTTAGAAACAAAGCTTGGATTAAACCCCAGTCTTTGAATATCTGTTACGTCCCCTCATTATGTTTCCACCACGTGTGTCTGCAAAACAGAAACAGCGCAGTCAAAAATCCAGGCTGCCCCAAGTTCTCTTCTGCAGTGCCTGCACAAGCGCAAGCATTAGCAGTCCTGCCACCTCTGGTTTGCTTTGGATGGCACTCCTGCAGGAGCATCAGAACAACTAGCTGAACGGCGCTTCTCCACTTCTGGTGTCTTGGCTGCTTGAGCAGAAGGAAAGCAAGAAGCAATCCAACACATTCAGGCTTATGTTTTTCATTTACAGCTCTTCCCTGTACAGACTTGCAGATGAAGCTGTGTGGATTTTTGCACTTCTATCTTGCTGTTTTGCTGCAGGCAGTGGATCACTCCCGGTGGATGATACGCAATCCTCCTAACAGGGCGTGCAGCCCTCCTAACACTAATTGTGCTAGAGGCTTTGAAAGACTGGAGGAGACAGAAATAGCCTGAATAGCAAAACCAGACTTACATTCTCTCAAATAACAGGGCAAGACAGGGATTAGAAGTAACAAAAATTGAAAAGCAAGTTAAGCTAACTCTAGAGTTTCTGGATAGCTGGGACTTGTTTTCTTTTAACTGTGATACAAACTTGCGCCCATAGCGAGGAGTTACTTCCTTTCAAACTTAGCATTTAGTTATGAAAAAGCCAGTTGTTTAACACTGTAATGTCACTGGCAGCGTTATAATTGTCGTGGATGGCATTGCCTCTGGGGAGAAATGTGAAAAAATGAATTTTGAGACAGTACAAAAATAAATTTTACCACAAAATGTCAGTTTGCAGCTGAAGAATGAAGCTTTTAAAAATATCTTCTAGAAAATGAATTTTGCACACAGTTTCCCATCTCAACAAAAAAAAAAAAAAAGTGGATTCTTACTGAAATCCCAGGCTTTGGGTCTCCAGCTCGCCTTTCAGGTGCAAGTGTAATTTTTGGTACCCACCTTGGAAGTGGATCCAATGCTTCAAAAGACTAAAACTGTTTCAAAGACCAGTCTTTGAGACTCCTATAGCTTTTGTGCATGTGCTAGCATGCCACTAGAGAGAATCCTTGTTTTCAGTTCTTCAGACATGATGGAAACACAATGCATGGTTTGGTTGCAGTAGTATTTTTCTTTACACTGTTACTTTTGCTTTGAGAGATGGAGCTGAAAAATACAAATTGAAGGTGATTTTGAATGTGGGTTTGCTTCCAGAATGCAAGCTGTAGTCTGAGGCACATTTTAGTGAAAACACCTGGAAATCGTATTTGTACCCCAAATCCTTGTGGTTTTGATGGTTTACTGCAGTTTGCAGTGTGCAAGTCCCCCCTTCCACAACTTCCACTGCATGTGCAAGCTAATTTCTGACATTGAGGTGAGTTCATGATTTGCAGTTCTTCATTGTAATTTAACACCAAACCAGCTTCTTTGAATTCTACACAATTACTCAGAAAATTGACAAATATAGTATTGTTGTCTGAAATGTAAAGCAGCAAAAACTTGAACTTCTTTAGTCATCTTACATGTGTACCTAAGAAATTAAAATGTTAATGATAGTCAGTACTTTGTTCCCAAATCATCCATTAGTGTATTGGCCTGGATTTGGGCCATTTGGGCTCAGTTATCTTTTCTACCTTAGTCACTTCAAACCACAGTTAGTATTTTTCTGTCTTACTGGAAAACATGTGGATGCTAATGTAAGAGAGGAATCAAATTCAGTGCACATTACTGAAATTAGATAAGAGACCATTTGATGATTAATGGTTATGTATAAAGTTTTGTGTTGCAGTGTCACTGGGACTGCACGTACCTAATGCTTGGGATTGTCTTTGGAAACAACCAAATCCAAAGTTACCTGTACACTCCTCCATCTTACTAATCAGGCAGGCAGTCATCTTGCACACTGCAGATTTTGTAGCACCTTCAAAATGACTACCTATCACTAAAGCAATTCTAACCAAAATATAGATATTACAGCTTCTAGAGGAGTTGAGAAACTCACCTTCCCAATGGGAGCCATTCTTTCACATCAGATTCTCAAATGGATTTTCCATGTGAACGTTACGAGTCCTCTGTCTGCCTTCTGCATTACATAAATTTAAAGATGCATCTTCTTTCAGCAGATATTGCAGCACTGTTGTTTTTTTTATTTCCCACTCTGGGACTGACATAAGATACTTGATAGCAGCACTTCACCATGGATAGAATTACGCTAAGCAATAATGCTGTGCACCTGATGTGCAAAGAAAGTTGCTTTAGTTTCCCTGTCGATGGGCTGCACCTGCCCTTTGGAAGAGTCCAAAATGAAGATTATCCCAGGTGTTCAGAGAGAGTACCCTTCATCTTCTGCTTTACTAAACTCCCACTATGACTCGGGGGGCATAAAGAACTTCCTGAAATTTTGGATGTGGAGAGCCGCTGGCAGAGTATACATTCATTCAGTTTGGAAGATGCTCAGACTACCCCAGTGCTACAGATATTTGCCAGGTTCTT